TTTCATCTTGAAATCCTCAGTGCAGTTTTGCTACCATATTTCCTGTCTTTTTGGCGATCTTTAACTTTTGATTATGCTAAACCAATCAATTTCCAGTTTTCAGTGTCAAAGTTTAATGGACTTCAAAGTCTCAGCTAATTCTGACCGCGATTTATCTTTTGGGAATGGGAAGAGTGAAGCGAGTAGGGAAAATGAAATAGGTGAGAATTGAGTTCTTCTTGTAAGGCAAAAAATAAAAACTCGTAACTGTTGGTGTTATATTCCATTCTATTATCAGTCTTATTTATCTCTTTAAGGCTCTTAAAATTTGATTTATGCTTTTCGCCATATAAGTTGATATTCTCTCACATATATTTTCTTTCTATATATTCTCCAACAAGAATGTTGTCTCTTTCCATTTTAAGTTTAGTTATTTTGTGGTACTTGTAAGCAATGTTGTTAAACTCGAACCGGATAACAACTCAGCTAAACTACTGGGTCAGAAGTTGATGAGAGTGGGATATACATATGGCAATTAACTCATTTACAGTCAAGTTTTACATTTATAAATCTTAAATACCCCACATACGATTTTTTGCAAGTATACGAGTCAAGAGCGAGTATAGGGTATTAAGGGTCGAACCCACAAGAAAGATTGTCAATTACCGATGATTTTCAAACTCCTTTATTATTTAGATTATGATAGGTGCAAGAAATTAACTCTATAATATAAACATGAGATAAAAGTAATAAAAATAATAATAATAACTCCTAGAGGTATGGAATTTCTCACTACTCTTGCAAGTGACATTACCAGTTAAGTGAATGTTATTATCTTGACTAATTATGGCGTAATTTCGTAATGTATGTGAAACCTACTCTCGTAGTGAATCAACTATACTTGTAACTAAACCATTCCGACTCTCGTGGTTATGAAATTAATTACAAGTTTATTTCTTCTATGAAATTACATGAAACAAGTCACTAGAGCCACAAAGGTGCAGTTCTACTCTCGTGAGTGTACTCTCGAGATTTGTCATTTTCTTAAACTAGTGTTAAATTCCAATTCTCATTGCAAACTTAACACCTTAAGATTATTACAATTAATGGCTAGTTAATCATGATTAGATAAGCAAAAGTGATAAATAACTTGCTCAAAATAATAGCATCAAATAATCAAATAAACATTACTAACAAGATATAGAAAATTCATCCATAATTCTAGGCATAAACTTTAGCAAAACATGAAAACAAATACCAAACTTGTATTATACCTAAACATGAAATCAAATACAAAAGAAAAAATGATAGGAGAGAAGTCACCCTAGTCACATGAGCTCTAAACTCTTCATCTTTGCTCGTCAAATTTTCATCCAAATATAACTACAAATACACGAGGGATAACCTACTCTAACTATACTACACTAATGAACTAAGAAAAACTAATGAAAACTACATTTTTGTGGAGTTTCTCTAGCTTTCAAAAGTTGTCAAAATATTCCCCAAATGCTACTATTTATAGAGAAATAAATCTCAAGATGAGTTATTTCTAGTTGGCCAAGTTGGCTCTTCAAATCACCAAAGGTTGCTTCTACAAGATTCTATGCTTGTTTGATCAGATACAACTGGATTTCTTGCAGAAAAATTGGTCAAAAAGATTGTGTGAACAAAGCACAACTTGCGGCCACAAAACCCGAATACATGACCTCGAAAAAACGACCTAACGTCACGTATTGTACCCTATGTATTGCTCTTTTCAGGTTTGCTCATTTTGGTCAGTTTTCAACTTTGCCCTATTTTTAGTCCAAATTTAAGTGATATTTTCTTGATAATGGAAGCTGAACTAACTCTTGTACAAAACATGAATGTTGTATCTCTTTGAGTTAGCTTTCTAATGCCTCAAGAATCATCTAATTTGGAGCTCTGTGAACCGATAAATAACCAAAATACCCTCAACTGGTCAATCATTTATATCAGCTTTTGATAACGAAAATGCACTTCTGTATTTCAACATTTTGACAAGGAAAACGACTGAACTGGACTTCGATTCGATGTCTTCATACCAAATGTATATATCTCTTAGGTTCAAAATGGTATAAGAATCACCTTAATCTGATACTTGTAACTCAAGATATAGCAGTAATACCAACAGGTGTCAAAGCTAGAAAACTTGCTTTTTGTAAACTAAGCTGCATTTCATCTCTTGCACTTCATATTCTCTTTTTATCACTTTAAACCATCATCAATCATCCAATTATCTCTCAACTCATGCCATTTGATAATTGAATCATTAAACCTATAAAAACATGAAGTTTTCACCATTAAAATCCATATAAATGTAATTTTTACCACTTAAACCATAAAATGCATATTTTCACTAGAATCCTAACTAATTAGCTATAAAAATGAATAAAACACACCAAAATTAACTAATAAAACACACTTAAAACACTCAAAATATGCACTTATCAGAGGTCAATTAGTCATATCAGTCGGACTATTCTCAAAACCCGCTAATGTCAGCACGATGTCATAATTATTTTATATTTTTATAAGTTTTAAAAATATTTAAGTTAAGTTCTTGGTTATATTCCACCAATCATACAAAATGTTCCAAAAATATTAGACTTGTAATCAAATATACACCTAATAATTATATATTACTTTGTAAATTCATGGTTAAAATATGTCTATTCTCCAAAACTACTTGAAAAACTAAATTAAAACAAATTAATGCAAGTTGGATCACTAATGCTAAATTGCTAAGATGATAGGGATGAAAACATCTTGATTTAGAGATCATTCAGGAAAACGAGTGATTTTGGTATTTACATTGAGTGGGTTCCGTTTTATTACTTCTATTAATAAATAAAACGTTACAATTTAAGTAATTCAAATTATATTTAAGAAAAATAAGAAAGAAATGTTTGAGAATTGGGTCAACCAGTCAAATCGGGTCACTAGTTTAGCTGATTTTTGATGGTTTTGACTGATTTTTTTTTTTTACCAAAGCGATTTTGTGCTACAAACCAGTTTGGAAAGAAGACCGATTCACGGTCGGATTGGTCGAACTGGGCTGTCCAGTCTGGATCTAAGAACACTGCTTGTAAGTTTACTCCATTTCTTTCGATGATTAAAAGTAATCCACATTTGCAAGAGAAATACATACCGAATACAGCTGAAAAACATTGCAGTTAATGTTATGAATAATAACATGAACTCCTTCCAATTTCCTTCATGGACCAAATTGTTGACATCAATTTAAACACATAACCAGCTTCACTTGGCTCCCCTCCCCCCAATCCCCCTTCTGTGGGGTGTTTTAGTCAAATAGCAACACTTTCGTAACCGAATAGTTGACATGTACCTTGTACAAAAGTTTATTGAAAAGGGTTATCAAACATTTTATTTATTTTGCCAAAATGAATTTCCACTTGCAAAGAATCATTAAAAATGGCTTTACAAAATGTTCTACCATTCAAAACCTTTCTCAATAAAATCTAATTTGAATACACAAAATTGATGCAAAAGAAAAAAGAAAAAAAAAAAAGAAAAGCAAACCAATGAAATACACGAAGTTGACTAATGAGTTCAAATCTTAATATGTTCATAAGCGTTTAATAACTAAAAATAGAATCTTTGAATTAATTAACTAGCACTGAATTTTATACGAAAAACTTGCCCAAAAAATAAATAGTTTATCACTTAATGTTATATATACTCAAATGAGTCAGATTTAGTACATAACAATTTATTTAGTAACTTAATGGATTCAAGTTTTAGATTTTAATTTTCAATTTTCAATTTTTAAACTCTAATTTTGTCAAACACGCCCTAAGTGCTATGCCTTTAGCAATCTATTTATCCATTGACGGTTGGCTGCAGGTTCAAATATACCAGCCCGTGCCTGATTCAGCATAATATCAAGGTCTATAATATTGTATTGGCAAAGCCGACTTCTTGGATCGAGACCTAAAACTTTACTCGGTTCAACTTTAATTATGATCATTTGTCATGCAAACGGCTCTTCGTTTTGTTAAATATTTTCTCATTTTGCTTTATATATTGATACACAAACAACTGTAAGTTACACCATAGTACTCTTGTATTTGCTGGGGAATGGGGAGGGCTCAATTAGACCACGTAAAAATTAGAAGAGAAAAACCCATCTCTAGGCCGGTGAACTACTGCATCCCGTAAGTAGCATTATGTTAGCCTATTACTAAGACTATTAAGGCTGAAGTAAATGTCATAGAATTATTACTTTTAGTACAAATCTACCATACATTTCCAAACTTCCGATTTTCCCCCTATACTAGTTATGGTATCAATTCCATAAACTCTAATGGCTATGCAGAGTTTACTATTACGCAGAATACATACTCTGCATCATATCATCTTCAACTAGTGCCAGATAGCGCTATGTAGGGGGAGGGGAATCAGGCATTGTAGTCTGTATTTAATAGGAGGCAAGATACCTGCAAAAACCAAAAACATCATCCAAGTTCGACATACCTGATGGAACTAATAATTTAACAAGAAAAGAAATGGACAAGGGATTCATATGGCCTACATATAGGATCAGGATGTCAACCTGGAAATAAAGATCATTGTAGGCCTGCATTGAGGATCAACACGTAGACATTCTCTTGCTAGTTTGAGAATGGATATCAGAATCTTTTCAGTTTCTTGATTGGGATAGAGAAGTCTTTGGTCTAGCAAGTCTCTCAGTTCTATCTCTTCAGGCTTTGAAGACATTAGATGAGCAATCAAGTCACCAGGATGCTTTCCTTTGATTACTTCCATTGTTAGCACCCCAAAGCTATAAACGTCACACTTTTTGTTAACTTTCATTGTGTAGGCAAATTCTGCAAGAGAAAGTTGGAAAATGATTTTTCTTGATATATAATCATACTTGAATTTACTAGTTCACAATTAATGACAGGAAAAAAAATCTTTATTACCTGGTGCAACATATCCATATGTGCCTGCAAGAGAACTCCAATTAGATGAGTCTACTTTCAGAAATTTGGAAGTGCCAAAATCTGAAACATGAGCCTCATATTCTGGATCAAGCAAAATGTTGTTGCTTGATATGTCCCGATGTACAATTGGTGGTGAACAATCATGATGCATGTAAGATAATGCATGAGCAACGCCTTTGATGATTTTCAACCTCTTTTGCCAGTCTAGTTCCTTAGCTTCTTCTTCTATGCTCAAGATTTTGGCCAAGCTTCCCCTTTCGAGGTACTCACAAACCAAAATTGAATGCTGAGCACTTGAGCAGAAGCCCAAAAGTTTCACAATGTTCCGATGCTTGATTTCTGTCAAGGCCCTAATCTCATTCAAGAAACTTCTATCCTTTGCCACATTAGGTATGTTGTGAAGTCTTTTTACAGCTACTAACTCGCCTGATGGAAGCTGTGCTTTGTAAACACTTCCACAACCTCCTTTCCCAATGCAATATGTTTCACTGAACTCTTCTGTAGACCTCACAATTTCTTTATACAATGCTTTGCCATCATAAGCACATATGGCAAATAAACCACCCTTATTCACCTCCATGTCTTCCACTCTTGAAATTTGTTGTCTCCGATCATGCAATCTGAGAACACCGAACAATGCACCAAGAAGCATAAATGATCCCAGAAGTGGTAATACAATTATGAGAACAAATTCCTTCCTTTTATCCTTGACATGCTTTTTAATCAACCGGGAACTTTCACAGACTCGTAACCCTGTAATATTGCCACACAAACCTTTATTTCCCTTTACTTCTTCCAAGGTTAGATTCACAAAAGCTCTACCACTCGGAATTGGGCCCTCCAAATTATTAAAAGAAAGATTAATGTGCAATAAACCAGCCAATTCTGCCAAAGCCTTTGGGATCAAACCAGAGAGGTTGTTCTGGGAGAGATCCAGTGTCCCCAAACTCTGCAAATTTTGAAACTCAGAAGGTATCTCTCCCGTGAAGAAATTTTGACTCAAATCCAGTTCAGAAAGTTGGGTTAACTTCTCAATCTGCGATGGAATCTTTTGACTTAAAACATTATTGCTCAAGTTCATGTGAAACAAGTGTTTCAAATCTGCCAGAAGCTCTGGTGAAGTTCCATTCAAGGAATTTGTTGACAGGTCTAGAAATTCCATTAACACTCCCAATTCTTGAGGTATACCACCAGTAAGCTGGTTGTCATGTAAATCTAGTTTAAGCATAAAAGCTAACTTCCCAACTTCCCTCGGTATCTCCCCTGATAAATAATTCGAAGAAAGATCAAGTGTATGTAGTTGAGCCAAATTTCCAATTTCTGGAGGTATACCACCCGTGATGTTGTTTTTTGCAACTATAAGGGTTTTCAGCATTTTGCATTTACCCCAGTTGCTGGAGAGTTTCCCATAGAATTTGTTATTGCTGAGATCTATGAAATCCAGGGATGGATAGATTCCAAACATTTCTGATAAGTTTCCTTGGAAACGGTTACCGTTGAAACGGGCCCTAACTAAGCTTGAGCAGCTTTGCAAGCTTTTAGGGATTGGACCAGTAAGCATGTTCTCAGATACAGAAATGTTTTGGAGAATTCCACTTTGACATAATAGTTCTGGCAATGGACCAGAGAACTGATTTCTGAACAATTCCAAAGCAACCAACTTATTCAGGTTTCCAAGTTCTTGTGGAATGGTACCAGAAAATTGATTTTCTTGGAAAGCCAAATATTCCAAGTCACTCAAGTTTCCAATTGAAACAGGAATTGAACCAGAAAGTTGATTTGAAAAGAGATGTAGATTCACTAGCTTATAGAGGTTACCAAAAGTAGCTGGAATTGAACTTGAAAGTTGATTGTCAGAGAGATCCAGTTCAATCAAATTGGTCAAATTACCTAGTGACTTTGGAATTGCACCAGTGAGATTATTTTGATACAAGTAAAGAAACTGAAGTGAGATCAAATTCCATATCATTGGAGGAATGGGACCAAATAGGTGATTTTGGTAAAGACTTAGATTCACAAGCCTATTGAGGTTACAAAAAGTAGCTGGAATTGAGCCAGAAAATTGATTGTTTTGGAGATACAGTACTTGCAAGTTACTCAAGTTGCCAATTGAAACAGGAATTGAACCTGAAAGTTGATTGTCAGAGAGATCCAGTTCAATCAAATTGATCAAATTACCTAGTGACTTTGGGATTGCACCAGCGAGATTATTTTGATACAAGTAAAGAAACTGAAGTGAGTTCAAATTCCCTATCACTGGAGGAATGGGACCAAATAGGTGATTTTGGTAAAGGCTTAGATTCACCAGCCTATTGAGTTTACCAAAAGTGACTGGAATTGAACTAGAAAATTGATTGTTATAGAGATATAGTACTTCTAAGGTACTCAAGTTACCAATTGAAGCAGGAATGGAACCGTTAAGTTGATTATTAGAGAGAGACAGTTCAATCAAGTTGGTCAAATTGCCTAACGACTTTGGGATTGTACTAGTAAGGTTATTTTGATACAAATAAAGAAATTGAAGTGAGGTCAAATTTCCAATCACAAGAGGAATGGGACCAGATAGGTGATTTTGGTGAAGGCTTAGATTCACCAGCCTATTGAGGTTACCAAAAGTAGCAGGAATTGAGCCAGAAAATTGATTGTTTTGGAGATACAATGCTTCCAAGTTACTCAAGTTACCAATTGAAATCGAAATGGAACCATTGAGTTGGTTCTCACTTAATTCCATATCGGTAAGAAATTTCAAATCACCAATTTCTTTGGAAATTGAACCCGAAAGTTGATTTTCATAAAGATACAGTTCAATCAAATTGGTCAAATTGCCTAGTGACTTTGGAATTACACCAGTAAGATTATTTTGACCCAAATAAAGAAACTGAAGTGAGATCAGATTCCCTATCGCTAGGGGAACGAGACCTGAAAGTTGATTACTTCCAAAATCTAAATAACTCAAGTTTCTCAAGTTGCAAATTTCAGGCGGGATTTCATGTGACAGTTCATTAGTATAGAAATCAAGATAAATGAGCTTTGACAGGTTACCTATTTGTTTAGGTATATTGCCAAAGATCTGATTCAGGCTAAGATCAAGATATTCAAGATTTGGGAGGGATAAGAATGGGAATTCATAGAGGCTACCTTCAATGCTCCAATCTGAGAGGTTCAACCTGTTGACACTTCCGTCAATGCAGGAAATACCAGCCCAAGTGCAAGGAAGGATAGACGACTTTTTGGCGTTGATGGATTGAAGGTTCCATGAGGTTAGGAAGCTGTTGTTCTGGTTCTGAAAACTGGCTTTCCATTTCAAAAGAGCAGCAGCCTCTTCAGCAGAAGCTGAAGCTCCACATTTGGGGTGAAAAGATGGGAAAAGTAGGACGACGACATAGAATGTGGAGATTATTTTGAAAGAACCCATGATTACTTTCGATTTCAATTCAAGTTGGCTAACCTTGTTACTCTGTACCACAAATGAAGCTAGTATTTATCCTAATTGTGCATGGAAGACTTCAAAGGTCCTTTTATTTAATTTTGAGATTGAAACACATAAGATGTCTATTCCAATGGGCCAAGAAATTTAAAGCATTGAAATCTTCCATGAGATTGACCATTTTATCTTCTATCACTAATTTTTGCTGATGAATCTATAGAAAAAGTTGACTCGAGTACCTTTTTGGAGAAGGAACACTTATGACCTTATTCCTTAATGATGATGAACCTATTGGCTAAGCAAATTATGTTATAGTTCTATATTTTCTTGACATGGATTATGCAAAGTTACTTGACAGTATATTTTCATGAAATGCAAGGGAAGTCAGATATTGCAAAAAGCTAATTTTTTACCCATTTTATAGGCAGATTTAGCAAGGGATTCTCCCTTACATTTTGTACTGTCCACTCTTTATATGGACTCAATTCATTAATATTACAGGCTTTTTTCTATCACAAAACATATATTTGATTTTTATCCATATTGATCTATTGATCAAAACAAAAAAACAACATAGATATATTTTAGATAACATCATGTAACGACGTCAATAAGTTATTGTATAAACCCATGGCCGCACAACAACATCAAAAAGTCAATGATAATTGCAGAAAGCTAATTTTTTACCGATTCTATAGGCGGATTTAGCAAGGGATTCTCTCCTACATTTTGTACCGTCCACTCTTTATATGGACTCCTCAATTCATTAATACAAGTTTACGTGTTGACCACCTAGAAGCTTGTTGTAAAGGATGGTAAATTATAGAAGCTTGTTGTAAAGGATGGTAAATTCATAATATAGAAGCTTGTTGCTTTTGATAAAATTGAAGCATGAAAATTGAAAATTGAAATATGAAATATGAAATTTAAAATTTAAATTTATTAAATTATTGAATTATAAAATATTGAATCTGATATATTTGAGTGTATGTCACATTAAGTAATAAGTGAATAATTTATTATTTATTTTTTGAATTAAATTTTATCTAGAAAATTCAATATTATTTAATTAATTCAGATGTCCTATTTTTGACTATCAAACAGATCTGAATATGTTAAAATGTGAACCTATTAAATTTAAATGATATTAAGATTTATAATTACAAAGTTAGTTATGATAGAGAAAAGAGTTGTTAGGGACAAATATAAATAATTAAGGCGTGTTATGTGACAAAGGCCGGTGAGTCTGGTCCATCAATTAAATTAAATTAAAGTACAAACAACACATCATCCATCCAATTGAGAATTGTCCACTAGTTTCAATTGACAATGACTTTTTAAGATGCTATGCAATAGAAAAATCCACCTGAAACCAGTGGGGTCTGCAATTAGCATCAGGATTAATATCCTGTTTTTTGAATATTCCTTATGCACCTAATTAGTCCCGTCTCTAGAAAGAAAACAAAAAGATATACGAGTCACATGAAACACAAATCTAGTTCAGAATTTTGCGGTGACCGACTATTTTGCAGAATTAGTAGGATAAATAGTTTAAAAGATTCTACACTTCCTTTATGGTATCATACTTTAATCGTAAATTCATATTTGAATAGTCAAATATTTTATTATTTTTGATATTTAGGTAGTTACAATTTCAATCATTTAGAGTGTCGCACCCCTTTTTCTTGAAAAATAAATCTATATCTAAGTATTTAGAAAAATGAATTTTTTGATTTAGAAAATGAGTTTTTTTATTTTAGAGAACAAACAAAAGAAAAGGGCCTAAAATGGGACTTAAAGAGTGCGACGGTTTTGGCCCAAAATAATAGTCTAAAAAGGATTTTTAGGAAAAAATAGGAGTTGCCACTTGGTATTGAGTTAAGGTGTACCAAATTATCCAAAATATTTTTTAAAATAAAAATAAATAAAACCCTTTTTAGACGACTCCAGGTCTTCGAAAAACAAGAGAAAAGAGTTCGGGAATCACAATTGAAGAAAGGGAAGGCAAAGATTTGATAAAATCAAACTTAAAGCACCCTTTCAACTTAGTCAAGACTAGTTGCGAGATTTAGTCGAAAATTATCTTAATCTAACCCATAAAACTTATCACATTTGAGCGTTTTTATATGGATGCAAATGTAGACCTAATGAATGTTAATAGGGTCAAAATATCTTTTCAAAGTTTGATTGGTGTCAATCACATTAATTGTGATACCCAAAATAATTCTTAAAAGAGGTCACGAATATGCAAAAATGAGACTCGAAGAAAAAGAAGAATTATAATATATAAATATACGTGACGTAAAGGAGAGGAATGCAACATAATGGGTACGGAAGACTAAAATTCATGACTCAATTTTCCTTTTTATAGAGGAAATATGAGCGTGTTAACGTTAAAAAGCCACACTCGTTTATTTTTCATATTTGAAGGATGATTCTCCTAACCTAATCAAGCAAATGAACTAGTCAATTTCTATTCTCCTAAATGGAATGCAAGTCTAAATGTCATGTTTTTCACACATAGGGATAAGGGAGATAATATATAGAGGAAATATCATGCAAGATGAGAAAAAAGCTACGCAAAGAATGTGAATCTAGCACGAAAACGGCCTAAAGGATCTAGCATTAGACTAACCTATTTCTACAAGTTTTCACTAGCGTTGCACTAGTGAGAAATCGGGGGAAAATACCACAACTAACGTTGGATTAGTGTGGTGACGTCATGCATTTATTATAACTAAATAAATCATATAAAATATAATTAAAACAAGTAAACACATAAAACATATAGATCACATAACATGTAGGCATGATATCTAGATGCAAAGATCCTAAAGAAAACGAATAAATACATAAGCACACAAGTATGCAAGCACACAAGCAAAGAAACTCATATAAAAGATAATAAGTGAATATTTAACGTATATTTTGTACAAATTTGGTATGAACTTTTGGTATGTTTTGAGAAGATTAAAGTCATATTTGAACTCTTTTGGTGATAATTGCTTAAATATTATTTAAGTATTCAAAACTTGATAAATGAGTGGATTAATGCGTTAATTTTGTGAAATTGTGAAGGTTATTGATGTATGAAATTCATGCACGAGTTGAAAGAAATGTAAGGATCATCCGGAGTACAAAGTACAAAAGAAATTGGGAGCAAAAATGTAGAAAAAGGAAAGAAGTGAAAAACTGAAAATTTGAGCTCGGATCCGTGTGAACAAAGGGCGATCCGAGCCCTCGTCTGTACTTCTGGAGCAGTGTATCCGAGGACAAACGATCCAAGCTCGGATCCATCAGAAAAAGGCCTCGGATCCTGAAGATCCAAGCTCGGATCCATTTTCACCCCTCGGATTCGAGGCTCGAATCTGTCTCTCTCTTCAGCAAGTGGCACAACCGCTTTTCTTTACTTTTCTCACAACTTTTCCAATTATTTTGAGGGACAGAAATCGGTGGCACATGCTTCTGCAACAAAAGGGAAGACCAAATGAGTTGTAGACAAAAGGAAACATCATATCTTTGACTTCTTTTTACAAAATCTGAGTGGAGGAAATTATGAAGTGAGAGGAATAGACTTTCTACCACCTTTTATACAGAAACACAGGGGAGAAGAAAGGATTACCATACGTAGCTAGTTTTCCTTCTTGTAACTAGTTTCTCTCTAGCTAGAAGTCCTTGGAGAAGCATTTGGAGTTTTCACTTGTAATCATTTTGTACAAGAACATAGCAGAAATTGGAGGGTTTCACCATCAATTGGCTAAGTTTTCTTTTATCTTTCTTGTACTTGTATTTTATGATGTTTTGCATTAATAAACTTGTGAGTTTGATTGTTAAATCATTCATGAGTAGCTAATTTTCTTTATCTAGGGAGTAGATGAAACTTATGACTAAATAATATGAGTTGAATGTGATTTACACTTGTTATATCTTGTATTAACTTGTTTACTTGTGTAGTTGTGATTACTTGTTATTGATTGATCACCAATAGCATGTTTATAGTTGTTATTGTTCAATGAAAATTGGTAGTAACAATGAAAACACATGAGTAGAGCTTAAGTTGTATGTTCATGAAAATAGAGATACACTTAGGTGGATTATTTAGTATTTCATGAAAGAAAATAGAGTAGTAGTAGTATTTCACCATGAAAATAGGGAAAACTATATTGCTCTAGGCCATTTCATCATGAAAATGAGACTTGGTAATTTTGGAAATGAATATCTGGTTAAACAAGAATAATAACAAGAGGTAAATCCATTCATTTGTGTTGTTTATGCCATAAGTGGAATCTACATCCCTAGATTCTTTCTTGAGTGAAATTTCTCCATTTGCATTTAACATTTGCTAAACTAGATTTGTATATCAGATTTGTAGACTATAGCAATATACTTTCTCTGCTCAAATTTATTGTAAGTCTAAATAATAGAGAAAAATAAGGGCCTAGTACTTGTTTAATTTGCTCCTCGTAGGATCAACCCGATACATACCCTACATTACGATTTCGGCCTGTATACTTGCAGTTAACGGGTATAAAATCGGATTTTAACTTGCACGTATATTAAAAGCCCGTCAAAAGACTAACTACTACATTCGGAACTCTAACTACAATCTAAGGGGGGAATTAAAAATAATAACCTAACTATTACATTTATCTAACTAATTACATTTTTGGCAAAATTAAAAACTATCTATTACATAGCCTAGCTAAATACATGTCTTGAGCGCCTATCTATTACAATTTGATATTTAAATGCCTCACAAATGATCATCAAAATTAAATAAAATAAATGAAACTCAAAATGAATAAAATGGGTAATTAAAGAAAAAAACACTCAAAACATGCAATTGCACATAAAAAACACATAGGAGCACATAAGAGAATTTAAAATAATAAAAAAAGTTACTTTCCTTGAAGTAGTGGTTAAATGAAGTTGGATTTGTCCTATTTATACTCCAAAATCAACAAAATAGTTAATGCACTAATTTAATT